ACATTTCTTTCTAAATTTTCATTGATTTCTTGTTTTAGTTTATCTCTGATTTCTTCTGATTTAAGTTTCTCTATGTTTAGTTTATCGATTTTGTGACTGGTTTGCATCTTTTTCAGTTGTAGTTGAAACAATAAGAGGATTATGACTTGAATAAGCCTTTACCGATTGCATTGCATTTCGGTATCTTTGCTTTATTAAGATGTAGGATGTAGGTAATCGATTTGATTTCTAAGGATATTATTATTTTTGTCTGCTGGTGATTTCTGTGTATACAGGCGTCACTTGGGCAGCTTGAAAAATGTATTTGCACCACAAGGTTATTCTCTTGAAAGAACTCAATGAGACGGTCGCCCCTCACATTGCGAAAACCAAGTCCTAGGACCATATGGACTAGTAGAGTTACACATGTCTTCCCCGATTTTAGCATTAAAATCCCCATGACTACTCTTATTTCTCTAGATCAGCGGTTCCCAAACTGGGGGGCGCGCCCCCCTGGGGGGGCGTGAAGCAACATTAAGGGGGGGCGTGAGTCTTCTAAAAAATTAATACAAATTTTAAGATTTAAAATAAAAAAATCAGTTAAAATTTAAAAAAAGATGTCTACAATCCGGCAACAGCGCATACCTAAGCCAAACTTTGCAATGCGAAAATTGCTACAGCGCACTCTCGCTGCCCACTGTCATGCCCACTGTCATGCCCATTCCTCCCCTTCCAAAGTTCAGAACTGCTTTCGAGTGCCATCCGTTGAGCGCTCCCGAGTTACTCCGAAGTACTCCGGCTACAGTTTGACCTGTTCAGTTTCAAGCGTTCGAGTGCAAAACGCATGGAGTATAACAAGTCACTGACGGGTGTGAAATGTTCTAAGAGCACCCGAAAGCGTCTCTGTTCAGACGAGTTACAGTAAGTAAAAAAAAAAAAATGTTTTTGTATAATGGGGGAAGGAAGGGGGGCGCGACCACTTCTTGATTTCAGAAAGGGGGCGCGGAAGAAAAAAGTTTGGGAACCACTGCTCTAGATGAAGTAAGTTGTAATGCCTTTTGAAGGAGACTATAAAAGTTTTTTATTTCCTCTTCATTTTTGTCAGCGGTAGGTGCATAGGTCTGTATGATTTAGTTTGCCATAAGTTGTCATTAGTTGTAGTACAGGACTCTTTCAGACATTGGTATGAAGCCTGCCACTGATTTCACTAGGCTTCTTTTAAGAATTATAGCTACTCCATAGCGGTGTTGGTTGTCACTGCTGCCAGCGTAGAAAACTCGTCCAGTATTAAGTTCACCCGAGTCGACCCATCTTGTGTCGCTTATTCCAAGTATATCGATCTTTGATCGCAGCATCTCTTGCTCTATATATCTTAATTTACTAGATTCTTACATACTTCTTACGTTTCATGTTGCGATTTTAAAATTTGATTTGTGTATTTTCAACAAACAGGAATTTCGCTGGTTAACGACCTGGAGAGTCCTGTCGTTTACGTTGTCTCTTCCCCTGCCGAATCTTGGTATCCGAGAACCATGATTAGTAGGTAGGTTCTTGCGTGTCATTTCTTTGTGCCATGACGATTTCCAGGGAGAACTAATGAGGCGGTTTCTCCTTCGCCTTCCTCATCGCAGTTCCATAACTGTTCAAACTGCTGCAGTCACACTTATGGATTTCCATTGATGAACCGGTGCAGAACTGTCCTCTTTACGCTTCATCTTGGTAATGACAAAAGCTGCTGCCTTACATCATTTGCTTTTATATTAGCCAAGGTTGCTACTTCCGCTAGATCTGCCGTTGTTCCACTGTACCTCATCTCCGCCTTCTCTACCGTTATAGTCTTCGCTCGTGACCCTGGACAAGGAACCCTAATGCAGGTGCTAGTTCTCCGTAAAATCTATGGTGGGCAGGGAGTGATTTACTTTCCCTAATAGACTATGCTATCCGCTACCCGCGGAAGACTTGGTGCGGAATAAATGTAAAATTTTTGCAACGGTAATAAAAAAAAGTTGCCAACCACTCTTCTGGTATTTATGACCCGACAAGAAAAACTGAGGTTTTCGGTACGACATTCCTTTCAGTAATCGGGACGGATAGCTGTGGCAATAATTCTAATAAATTTTTAAAAGCAAAACGATTATCCGAAATTTGCCGGAAAATTTATCTGGTTAATCAGTAACTGACATTTACTTAATAAAACTAACATTTTTAGGAATTTTCGGGTGCGGAAAAAAAAATAATAAAAAAAAATTAGAAAACTCAAGAGATTCTTGAAACGGTTCGTTTTCAAAGACTTATGTGTCAATTCTGTGCACATCTATAGGCAAATCAATAAATTTCTATAAGCCTATAGCAGCTTATAGACATATCGCAAATCTGCACTTTCTTCAACAAGGAAATAAAATCACTTTTGAGTTTCCACTTAGAGAAAAAACAATCATAATCGGTGCGGTTCTCTTCCGGGTGCTTCGGAGGTCGGCGATCTAGTACCATCAAATTTCCCTCTTCTCCTCGTTGAGTACGTGGCGTCGTCGCGGAACGGCGGGTAACGTGGTGGTACCTTAGGGTGGTACTCCCGGCGTAAAAGCAGGGCGGTTATTCAGTAACGGCGATAGTATCTCTATTAGGATCCGGAAATCGATTCGGATGCGGTCTGTCAATAGCAGGTAGCGGAAAGAAAAAAATAGTAACTCCGTTACATGCATAATGTCTTTTCCCCCAGAGTCTCTGGGTCTTTTGAGTATGATCTGGGTGTAAGTCTCGCTGTCTTCTCTTTCCTCTTGTTTCACGTCAATATCGATATACTTACAGTTCGTCGATTTTAATCTGATCCTATAAAGGAATGTGAGCTGGTGGCTCCTTGCGTTAGAATGCCAATGGTTACCTGACGTCACACCTGTTTTTGCTATATGCTTCACCCCCTTGCTCCTCATACGGAAAGTGTCAGATTAAAAACGATGGACAATACCTCGGCACTATTTTATTCTATGTCGATTTCCAGTACCTACATAATCTATTGATTCTTTCTACCTTATGACTTATCTGATTGTCGTTCGCAAAGATCATTGTTAAGGACGATTCAATCTCGTTAAGTATTTTTCTGTTTTGACACAAGAACTTTCCCTAAGACCGAACCGTTTTCGATTCGCAACCAGTTCGGCCTGGTTGGTTCGGAAAGTTGGTAGACAGCTTTCGAATTTGGTCTGTCAAGAAAGACGCCATGTTTTAAAGGTTATAAAAGTAAACAGAAAATCAAACCAAAATTTGTACAAACTCGCGAAGCTGGTTCGAATTTAGGCGGACCAAGCGATGCCTGTGAGCATTAGCGGTTTGCAAGCAAAAACGGTTGGTTCTATTTTTGTTGGCCTTTAAGACGGACCAAATCGAAAACAGCCTATGTTATCGTTGCCCATCCCTGAAACATATTAGAATAAAACAACACTTGACTCTATACAGAAAAGGCGTATTTAAGCGCGAGTTTTAACCCAGTACGTTGTGTTACTTGTAATAGGTACTACATTCTAGCGATCATGGCTGACATACCTACTATGAAGTCACAACTTAAAACTCGGCCGTAAACATGTAACCATCCCACAGTTTATACCGTACCGATACAGTTGTTCAACTCCGTTGACAAACCATTGATTTTTTTGAAGTTAAATTCTATGTCCCTATATTTCGCGTTTGCGCATTATTGATCAGAAACAACGAATCATGGGCCGTGGACAGAGTCGGACTAGGATTTTTTGTGGATTAACATTGAGACTATAACGGGATCATATTATAATTTCGAAACAAATAATATAATGATTTTTTGGCTGTTTTATGATGATGAATAAATTGATGAATTTTCCGGTTACTTTTCAATTTCCTGAATAATTTCAGTCAAAAAACTTCTTTTTTTTTTTTTTTTGTAATACAATCCTGTTGCGTGTCTCGTTTGACAGTTATTTCTCGCGGGTTCTCACCCAAGCTATCTCTATCTCTTTTTTGCGTGCAGGATTGGAAAGTGACATGTATATGCTGAACCTGCTTTTCCAATTTGAGAGATTTGTTCACTCATTGAGCGCATGCGCAAGATATGGGTCAAAATGCTCCTATTGGTTGGAGAATTTGGCTTCAAAAAATATGGAGAGTTGTACAACTGTATCGGTACGGTATAAACTGTGACCATCCTACGAGGGATAGTTACTGGTTGTAGTATGTCAGTGCATCTTTTTTTAATACACGAAAATGAGCATATGTGGTCCAAATAGCTGACTACGATTGTCGATCACTGACACAGCTCTTTCTATTATAAATAGATTATTGTTTTTCCCCATTTTGCCATGGTTTTCTGTGATTTTATTTTAGAGGTTTTTTGCAAAAAAAAAATCTGCACTTTTGCAAAAAAGTGTAATTTTTTTTTGGTATGGGGTCCCCATAAAATTCAAAAATTCCACAATCTATCGAAAATCTACACTAGAGAAAATAATATTGAAACTCGAAAACGCAAAATTCTGCAAAATTCAACAAACCCAAATGAACAACGATCATGGCGTCCTCTTTTAGACCCTTTGTCAAATATACTCCACCTGTCATATGGGTAACTATGACGTCATGAATCGTTGTATATATAGTATGATGTTCACTGGTCGCTAAAATACGTCTCTTGAAATTTTTGAATGAATGCCACAAAACTGACACTACTGACAGAAGTTTAAAAACAATATGGCTGACCCAAAACCCGCTTTGATATGGTGTTTTCTGCTCCTCTCTTCTTCTATTTCGATGTACCTATATACCGTATTTACGTAGCCCGTAGCGTACATTAGAGTTTTCCATTTTGCAGTTGGATTGGTATCTAATCCACCTGCAAGCTATTGCACGGGCTACGTAAATCACCCTGTATTTAAAACCTATATCCAAATAATAGCTGACGAAGAAACTAATTTTCAGGTGGGGTTATGACCAAATTCCAATTTGAACTAGGTCACATTTTAAACAACTATCTATATTATTGATTAGGTATTTCATTTATTTAGGATGCAATGTCAGTAGCCAGCGCTGACAAATCACCAGATGAAATCGTCATGGAAGTAGCCACAGCTGTTTTGGCTCAGCTACCAGCAGATTTCGACCGCGATGTTGCCATGGAAAAATTTCCGGTTTCCTATTCTCAAAGCATGAACACCGTTCTGGTGCAGGAAATGAACCGGTTCAATCTTTTATTGTCTACAATCCGGACTAGCTTGCGCAATGTGCAAAAAGCCATTAAAGGTTTGATTTTAATGTCTATGGATTTGGAAGAAGTGGTCACCAGTATTTTGACCGGAAGAATACCAGCGATGTGGGCCAAGAAATCGTACCCTTCATTAAAGCCGCTTGGAAGTTATATCAACGATTTTTTGGCCAGGTTGGTGTTTTTACAGAAATGGATGGATGAGGGTGCACCGATGACGTTTTGGATTTCTGGCTTCTTTTTCACGCAGGCCTTTTTAACTGGAGCCCAGCAAAATTTTGCCAGGAAATATACTATACCTATTGATCTACTAACATTCGATTATGAGGTATGGCATTTGATGAATATTATTTATCTACGACTATTTAATAATACAGGGTGTATCAGGTTTGACTACAAAAATTTTAACACGTGAAAATATGGCCCAAAAAAGTTTATACAACATGGGGTCCAAACTCAACCATTTTTAAGAAAAAGGCCTTTTAAGTTTTGACATTTTTTGACGAATATTTTCAAGATCAAGAAAATTTTAATCATTATGAGATGTAGAAAAATTTAATTTATTCAATTATCAAGTAATTATGCATTTTTAGTCAACAACAATAACAAAAAATTGAAAAAACAACGTAAAAATTTCACTTGTAAATCGGTATCTAAACATCTGGCAACATAGCACAATAAAGAATAGGTGGTTGAACCACAGCATATACAAAAACAATCAGCAGGCTAACTCTCACGCGCATCTTTTCTGCGCACGCCGCCATTAGGAGATACCATTCTGTCAATAAACGGCAGGAGCGCCGATTTTTTTTTTTATTTGTTAATTTCTGACGGAGGTGTAGAGCGGAATTTTAGTTATGATTTTCGAAGTGATTTTAGTACAATCGTGTTGTTATTTATAGTGTTATCTGTTATCATTATTGTATATTTAATAATAATAATAATAATAATAATAATAATAAATTAGTAATTATAAATATTATTACATGTAACTATGTAAGTAATAATTAGTTTATTTAAAGCCAATACGACTATGTGACAAGGAAGATAAAACCTAAATTATCGTTAATCAGGCCCTGTTTCGTATCCCAAAATGGCCGCTAGTGACATTTTGACGATTAATTCCTTTATTACACGGTTTGTCACTCAAGTTAGCCTGCTGATTGTTTTTGTATATGCTGTGGTTGAACATTGAACCTTGGTTGAACTGAATAAAAATGATTCTTGATTTGTCTTGTCTAGTTGGGGAACGCGCGTAATTCAAATTCATTCTTTTTTGAAAATAAAATGTTTACAAACGTCGAATATGCAGATATGTACTTGTTTAGGCAGAATCGTTGCAAAATGCTCGTTTAGCCGCCAGAACTTATAGAGAAAGATTTCTCAAAAGAAAAGCTCCCACCTGATGAAAGAACATTGTGCTCGTTTTAAAAAAGATTGCGTGATACCTGAAGTGTTAGTGTGCAAAATCTGCGTGTTGATTTTAGTGTTTTGAGAACCTTTTAACAAAAATTAATATTTTTATAATAAATGGCAAGTAGCTGAGTAAGTATTACTTGATTTTTTTTCTTGAATGTTCAGTGCAAAAATGTCAGTGAGTGCAATTCACAACTTAATAAAACGGCACATTTCTTATTTTTACTAGAAAAGTGATAAAAATGCAAATTATTATTCACATTATTTGAAAGCCAATGACAAACCAAAACGTAAACAGTTGGAAATAAAAATAAACTCCGTGCAAAAAAAAACTGTTCAAATTTACCAGTTTTATTTACATTTATATCCTGGCAGAAATAATACGTGTACAATGTTGTCACGTTGTTAACATTTTTCTAAATTTAAATTTTGCGATAACTCCGAAAATACTTACAATTGCCCACGGTTAATAGGACACTTTTAGCTTGAAATGGGTCATATTATCTCATGTTAAAATATTTGTACTCATACCTGATACACTTTGTATATGTTTCATGCACTTTATAAGTTATGGCAGCAGCTTCAGTCCTTTTATTCTTCACAATTATCTCAAAGCACCATTTTTATCGTTCTTCTTTAAAAATACTATTTTAAAATATAGCATAAGTTTGAAGTTTGAATTGAAAATAATAGTTGTAGATACGAAGCCGTATTTGGCTCCTCGCACTATGCGCTAATAGGTACTCAGACAGCTGATAATAATTATTATAAAGTTTAAACTTCATTCAATTCTCGAAAATAATAGCATTACATTGAATGCTTGTTGAATATTTCACCTGCGACCTATATAAGATAAGAGTTTATTGTATCACTTATTTTGTTTAATTCAAATCGGCAAAAAGAGAAACGCTCAAGATTTCTGTTCAGCTAGTCGTTGCAAGGGAACGAAAGGTAACTGTAAGAAAATATTCATTATTGTACTGTAAGGAAATGATATCTCCTTACGCCAGTTTATATTTTCTAATGTAGAAAATTGTACTTATAGTGGATTTATAAAATAGTTATTTATGTATCAAGGGAATTATGCAGGTGTTAATACCCCAGGGCAACGTTTGTGTCCCGAGGGCCTCCGGCCCGAGGGACACCAATTGCCCGTGGGTATTAACTCCTTATAATTCCCGTGGTACATAGATAATTTTATATCCTACTGAATTTACTGTATTCTGTCTATTTTTATAAAGGAATAAGCCATAAATCAAAATTTCTATTTTTTGTCAAAGTGTTACCTATTCAAGGTAAAAGCGGGAGTTATGGAAATCCTTAACTCCCTTGGGAGTTATGATATCCTTAACTCCCTTCCTTAACTCCCTTGGGAGTTATGAAAATCCTTAACTCCCTTGGGAGTTAAGACCCTGTTTATGATTATCGTAACCAAGGTATTATATGGTTTTAATAGTTCAGTAGGATATAAAAAAATTAACACTTAAACTAATTTAAGAAAATTAACTTATTACAACTAAAAATTTCAAGGTGCGCTTATATATGTAGTTCTTAATTTTTAGTTGATATGTCTTAATTTTTTTTTAAGAACCGCTATTGCCATTATTCCTTCCGATTCTTGGATAAATTACATTACCCATGTGATTGATACCTATTTTTGAAAGCTGAACACTTTCTTTAGGTGCTCCGACAATCGACATTTAAAACGGCGCCAGACGACGGGGTTTACGTTTACGGCCTGTTTCTGGATGGTGCCAGATGGAACCCCGATAAAATGATAGTGGATGAATCTTTGCCGAAAGTTCTATATGATGCAGTACCATATGTAATGTATTTAATTATTTTTTCTATACCGAATGGAATTTTCACTTATGTTGTAGATTTGGCTTATACCTATCAAAAGAGACGATCTAGAAGAAAAACAGACGTACCTTTGTCCAGTTTATAAAACAGCCGAGAGAAGAGGAGTATTGTCCACAACAGGACATTCTACCAACTTTGTCATTGCGATGACGTTGCCTACTCAAAAAAGTCAAGCTTATTGGGTCATGAGAGGTGTAGCTATGTTGTGTCAATTATCACAATAGTGTGTTCTTATTCTATTCTACTGATTTTTTATGTATTACTATTTTTACAATAAATTTATCATTATTTGCTAATTTCTTCTTGCTAAATTGAATCGAACATACCTAATTTAATTTTTGCAAGTGATCTCAGCTAAACAATAGAGCCTAAAGTAACAGTTGGACAGGTATTTGTGAGTAGGCAAAATTCAAGATGGCTACCAATGCGAGTGTCGGTGGAAATTCTCAAAGATACATGATAAACGCGATGAAAAACTCAATTAATTGTGTGTATTGTAACAAAAGTTCTTCCAGTACCATTCAGTGTGGAAAATATGAGTAATACTTCCATCCTTCCTGTTTAAGAGACTCAGCGACATCTTTAAAACAAGCGCTGAACACACGTTTGGTTTGAGTCTCTGCTGAAAATGACAGTAATAACCTCCTTGTTTGGCAGATTTTGATAAATTTTGGAATAAAAACATTTTAAATTTTTCGCAAAACTGGTATTTCCATTTATTCCAGCATTTTATATTTTATCATCCGAAATTTTGTTGGTGTGCAACTCTTACGTGTTCATATTTAGACTGCATATTTTGTAACCAAAAATGCGTCAATCCAAACTCCAATCTATTATTGTTATCAGCATAACTTAATTTTTCTGAAAAGTGGTCTAAATTTGGAATTGAACATCAATTTGTGAAGGTCTGTAAATAACGTTTCCTACTCGCGTGCAGTAAAGTACACTTTACCGCACTCAGTACTGTTAAATTCTTTACCTACGAGCGTTCGGTAAAGTGCACTTTATCGCACGTTTTTGAAAATGTAAAGTATCACTTTACCGCACACTATGCGGTAAAGTTAACTTTACAGCATAGTGTGCGGTAAAGTTAACTTTACAGCATAATATGCGGTAAAGTGCACTTTACCGAACACTTTGTAGTCCACTTTACCACATAGTGTGCGGTAAAGTAAAATTTGATATTTATAATCAAAATTCCTTTCTTTTTCAGAAATGATCCTTTCTAAATTTAATCTTATGCCATTAATTATTCTGATTCATTAATTAATTTTATCAATGCTTTTTTGGAGGTGTAGATGCTCATAAGTAAAATTTTGTACCTAACACATGCGGAAAGTGCCTTTACAGCCCTTAACGGCTTGACCGAACTCCGCTTCGCGTGCGGTAAAGTATCACTTTCCGCATTTGTTAGGTAAATAACTATTACTGCACTCAGTGCAGTGAAGCTTCTTTTCCACACTCTTTTAATAATACGTTTGTAACTGTTCATATTCTTTATTGTACCGGTCCTGCGATTTTTGTGGAATCAAAGAGCCAACTGCTGCATTCGCTGCTTCGAATATTTCTTCATCGAAGGTCTCCATCTTTCAAGAATTTATTTTATACCAAAAAATGGAAAATTTGAACCACAAAACTCGAATCTATTTGAACTTTTTATGTGGTATCTATGGACGCGAATTATAAAGTCTGTTTTTTTTTTTTAAAGATAATTCCCCAAGTCAAAAATTTAGTAACTATGTTGGCAACACAAGCCTTTTCTACATAAAAAATTTGAAGGATTGACAATTTTACATTGTATTGCCAACATAATGTCACTTTGACTTTTATCTTAAAAAAAAAAAAACAGATTTTAATAGATTTGTTGTTATGGAAAAACAAAATGCAACGTATAGCAGATTTTGACAAATGCCACCTTTGTCAACAAATTCCTGTCTTAATAATTTTGAGTGTGGTAAAGTTTGTTTACCGCACTGTATTGAAATTAAAAAAAAAAAACATGCAATTAGTGTGTTTGCGTTCGCGTAATGCATAAAATAGAAATATTTATTGTTTTTGACAATCAATGTTTGCTACTTTTTATGCATCTGACTTGGAACCAACATCTCAAAAGAGTAACCGACCGGGCAATAGCCACATACTGGAAATGCCGGAGATTATTCAGCAAGACTGGAGGACTAAAGCCAAAAATCATCTGTTATTGGTTATTTACAATGGTTATAAGATCCATGGTCACCTACGTTGCAATAGTGGGGTGACCAACAGATAGCGACTAAACCGATTGGCAACTGTACGAAGGTATGCAGGTCTTGGAATAACAGGAGCAATGAACACTTGTTGCAATAGAGGTCATGTCGAGCCTCTCCTCACTAGATATAATAGTGGAAGAAAACGCCTACATGGGAGCCTCAAGAATAACACAATCCCTAAAACTAAAGGAATGGGACTTTGTTGGCCACTGAGCATTATGAATTATGTATATGCATAAGTGTGATCACAAAACCAGTTGACCACATGCAACAGAGGTACGAATTTGAACACTCCTTCAAAGCGACTATTGAGAGCCGCAAGGGAGAAAATATCGTAACTGTATTCCCGAACGGGTCATCTGTCTGGTATACAGACGGATCGAAAACAGAGCAAGGGACTGGAGCAGGGTTATACGCAGCAGCCCTAGGACAAAGCCGAACCATATTTCAAGCGGAAATATTCGCAATAGAACTTTGCGCTAGAAAGTGTCTCGGAAAGGGATCTGCGAAGAGCGAAGATCCACATCAATTCCGACAGTCAGGCAGCACTAAGAGCTCTAAGCAACTCTGTCACAAAGTCCAGACTGGCATGGGACTGCCAATAACTCCCAAAGCAGCTGGCTTCCCGCAACGGGGCACCCTGTCATGGATACCAGGTCACCAAGGAATCGAGAGCAATAGAATTGCAGACCAACTTGCAAGACAAGGAGCTGCAATACCATTCCTTGGACCAAAACCTTTCTCTGGCATTATGAAAGCCATATAATAGGAGAAGTCCAAAATTGGATAAAGGCTCAACAAGCCTCCCGCTTCCAGGACTAAGGCAGGCGAAACAACTCATCTTACCTCAGTCAATAGAAGCAAAGGAACTGATTGACCTTGGTTGGTTGGTTGGTTGAGATACAGAATAAACAGGCCGGGTTAGATGGCCCCAACACTGCAGCCATCGGCTTATTGTTTTGTCCTGTTCGTCTGTTTAGTCAGTGAAAAGTTTCGTGACCTTGATTAGGTTTAGGAGCCTCGCCACAGTGTTACTTTTGGTGAGTTTAGAGATGCAGGATTTCTTCAGTAAGTTTAGGTGATGATTGTTATACCATTAGCTTACTGTGTCTGAGCTTCGGAAGAGTTTGCCAGTAGGTTTTGTGTTGTCTATACACACCCATTGGTTTATTTTTGTTCTTACCGATAATTTTGTGGTGGCAATTACCGGATCAGGACTAGTATAACTGGTAGCCGATTCTTCCCTTGCCAGAGCATCTGCTTTTCCATTTCCTACAATTCCTTTCCTTCCTGTCTGAGCAGATAAGGATGTTTTACCTGTGTATCCCCTCCTTAGGTTTTCTCTGAGACAGGAGTCGATGGCATATATTTCTGCTTGGAATACAGTAGTGTATTCTCCTAGAGGTTGACCGATGTTGCATTTGGGAGTTTGTCCATATATTCCAGTGCCGGTTCCAGTTTCTGTTTTCGAGCCGTCAGTGAACCAGACAATTTCTTATTTAGGTGTTGCCTCGGTATTTCCTACTGGGGCAATCTCGATGGCGAAGGGTTTTTCGAGGGATTTTTTTCGGCATCATATAGTCGCTACCCATAGTTAAAATCGGGTTTGTGATTATTTTGGTGATAGCCGCATGTCAATTTGGTTTTGGGTTCCAGGTTTCGTTCAGCTGGAGACGATATGCCTCGATTCTAGCCTCCGCTTTGACGATAATGTCAATGGTGGGAGGTTTAGGATCGTTTTCATACTTGCCGTTGTTGTGCTTTTCTGTGCACCGGTAATACAAAGACATGCAAGTCTCTGGATTTGGGCTAGCTCCAGGTTTGCTTGTCTTTGGCTTACTTTAAGCCACCATACAAGTGCACCATATGTTATCATTGGTTGTACGACTGACGGTTTTAGTCCCCATGTTTTCGCAATCGCTCTTTTTAGTGATATCAACGTCATCTTGCTTTTGGTGGTTATCTTTTGGATGTGTTGGTTCCATGTCAGCTTCATATCTAGCATGATGCCTAGAAATTTAGCTCCCCTGCCAACTAGGGCGATCAGCTCCTCCAGATTTCTTTTTCTCGTGAAACGATTGAGTTTTGTTTTGGAGGGGTTGACGCGAAGTTGCTCACTTGTGCACCATTCCTCAATGATTCCTGAGGCGTCTTGCATGAGGTTTAATACTGTCTTGGTAAATCCTCCCCTAATGACAACGGCTATGTCATTCGCATAGCCTAGGGTGAAGTAGCCTTGATCGTTTAGTTTTCTCAGAAGTCCATCCACGACTAGATTCCACAAGAGTGGTGAAAATACTCCGCCCTGTGGGCATCCTTTTGTTGCAGTTACTTTAATCAAGATTTCAGCAAAAGTCGAGTTTATAGTCCTGTGTTTTAGCATGGACTCAATCCAGCTGCATGTAGTATTAATTGCATGTTGCCCAACAGCTTTTATTATGGAGTTGAAGGAGGTGTGGTCAAAGCTTTGAATATAAAACCACAGGAAGGAGCGTCTTCTATCTGTCACTACAGACAACGCAGGGACGGAAACGGCCATATTGAGCCTCCAAGTATGACTCATAATTTGTTTTGGAGGTTCGCTGTGTCCTCATTCAAGTGGATGTTTAATGGATTTTAGCGGTTTTAAGGGATAATAAGCACTGGGATTAGTGCGAAGAGAGTGAGTCATAATGTTGACAATCATATTTAAATAGATATACGCCATTGCCAAACCGGAAAAACTAGTCGGCAATATGCAACCTCCACATATTCTGGTCGCGCAGATTCGAGGTTATGCTCCTTCCTGTAGTTTTATATTCAAAGGGTCAAAGGCTCCTTCTATGTCAAGGAATGCCACTAGCGCGATTTCCTTATTTTCTAGTGAGTTCTCTACTCTTGCCATCAGTTGGTGTAGGGGTGATTCGCATGATTTACCTGGCACCTGATTCTCGACACGAGGGAGCAGGGTTCTTTTGAGAACATGTGGCCTGTCTTTCTCAGTTCCATGCAGCTTCTGATATGAGTGACACAGACAGAAAATGTGTTCTCATGAGAACTTTA